TTTGTCAAAATAAATATAAAAAAAAGGTTTTATAATATGAAAAATACAGGTTAAAGTAGAAAAATATTCTTATGAATGAATATTTTTGAGAGTCCCTGATTTCATAACATCTTTATTTAGTTAATTATTACACAAATTTTAATGTTAGTGTTACAGTTTTAGCTATTCTGTTGTACTGAAGCTCCTAAACTTGTAGATATTTTATCTGCACAATATTAAACAAGAAGTTTTTCACGGTATTTGGATGGATGGATGTGTTTTTACTATTTTACGAAAATACACTTTATTCACTATCATTCATCAAAATTGCGCGCAGAATCAGCCTCTACAAAGATAGAAACGAAAAAAATAACATCAGAAACATGCAAAACTGACACCTGTCATTCTAATCCCACTACGCTTATCAGGGCCCACCTGCGACCTCCGATAACAATCATAATTGCCGGATCAACGTGGGATCATCCGCACAACGCGGTACATAATACATTTGTTACGCCCTCGAATCATATTCCCGACAATATCATTTCGTGAGTCGACGTACCATGAAATACGTCTTGAGTGACTCGGCACAAGATGCCGGCGGTAAAACGTTGTGGTTGTTGCACAGTGGCAGGCTAGGCGATAATTTAAACAGATAAAAAAAGACAAAAAATATAGCATAGGAGATCGGTGGGTACTTGTACTTACCGTAGGTACAGGTAGGGCTCAAAAGATAAGGAGACATGTAGAGTGCCCCATGAGGGCTACCTATTCTTTTTTATTCGTTCGTTCGTGAGAAATCAAAGACCGTAGTGTATTCGTATCGCGTTTAATATAAGACTAAACTGTCAACGGCGCTGCACACATATTTATAAAGTGGTGTTAAGTCTACCCTCTTTATTCTATACATTACACCTCCCTCCTTAATAAACCTTTACAGTAAAACTACAACATCACAAATTATTTGCAGTAAGATATGATTTTTAAACNACTTGTGTTGCGTCAAAAAAGCACAAGAGCACAGTGACAGACAATAAACACCCCCTGTAATTTTTGCGAGGCCGAAGGCCGAGCTCCGAATGCGAGGCCGCAGGCCGAGCGCCGCGTAGGGCGAAGCCCGGAGCGGCCAGCATCGCAGATCTAGCTTTTGTAGCCCGCGTAGCGGGCGACCAAAGCTAGTCTATACTATATAAAGCTCGATTCCTACTCACTGACTCACTCACTCACTGATCAGGGGTATTTTTGGGGTATTTAGAGGGGAGAGGGGTAAAATTGTTAGTGTTTGTTTTTTACTAGATTTTTTGACTGACAGCTTTACCACATTTTTTGAACCAAAAACAAACTTTTTTGTTTTTCATCCTGAATTTTTTCCTTTTTGGGAGTTTATTAGAGTTGCCAAGGTGTGTTAAAAAATGTGGGAAAAAAACGGAAAAACAAAATGGCCGCGCCGCCATCTTGGATTGAAAATGCGATTTCGGGGTGTTTTTAGGGAGGCGTCACTCCGAGATGCGCAATTGTTTTTGAAAATTTCTTTTGAGTATTTGTGACATGTATAGTCTTCTTTAAAGCCTCATTCACAGATTATCAAAAAACAAGATGGCGGCTGAGCTGTCGGCCATTTTGTTGCGATCAAAAAAATCCCAAACTTTGACACGAATTTTCCGGCAGATGGCGACACCGGAGTGGGGTACAATGTTCCGGGCGATTGTTGGTCTGTTATTCGAGTGTTGCCATGAATCGGAAAAAACTACCATTTTGGAAGAAAATTTTCCACCAGGGCCCCGGATAGTAGAAAATGGAAATTTCCAAAAAATCCATAAACTTGGAATGCAGTCTGGTGACGTTTGGGGACCCAAATGACATTTCACCATTTTTATGAAAAAAGTCTGGCAACACTGATAGTTATGGGGATGAGAAATCAAAGACCGTAGTGTATTCGTATCGCGTTTAATATAAGACTAAACTGTCAACGGCGCTGCACACATATTTATATAGTGGTGTTAAGTCTACCCTCTTTATTCTATACATTACACCTCCCTCCTTAATAAACGTTTACAGTAAAACTACAACATCACAATTTATTTGCAGTAAGATATGATTTTTAAACAGTATATAAGAAAACTATAAAATATTATCACAACAAGTAACTTATAACTAACAGNCTGCACACATATTTATATAGTGGTGTTAAGTCTACCCTCTTTATTCTATACATTACACCTCCCTCCTTAATAAACCTTTACAGTAAAACTACAACATCACAAATTATTTGCAGTAAGATATGATTTTTAAACAGTATATAAGAAAACTATAAAATATTATCACAACAAGTAACTTATAACTAAGTATACAATTTTATTATTAAATTTCATTATGAGTAGCCGTATCTATTAGGTGGTTTCCTCTCCCTTAAGGGGTAACGGCGTTCACCGGTGGACGGTACAACACTGTTTGTGTCTGTACTATGAGTACCACTGCCCTCCACCCCGCCGCCCAACTCAGAGCCAATCGACCCGCTCACCGAGTCCGAAGACGACCCCCCAGTCTCCGACTCCACTGGTAACTGTGGCCACCCTACTAAGCCTTGCTTACTTGTACCGTTTGAATGAGTTGTTGTGCCTTTTGGTAAACTTGGTTCATGGTGTTTTGACTTAAGTTTTATTTGATCAATGTGTCGATGTACCACTGTGCCGTCTAAGGAAATAATATTGTAATCCGTACTGCCTAGTCTTTCATCGATTGCACCTTCTAGCCACTTAGTTGGTCCCCGGTACGTGCGATACCACACGGCGTCGCCCGGCTGCAGCTCGCGGTGCCCCCCGCCGGCCGCCCGCAGCTGGCGCTCCTGGGCCCGCTGCACTCGCTGCTCCCGGGAGGGCTTCAGTCGATCCAACCTAGTACGCAGTGACCGCCCCAGCAACATCAACGCTGGGCTTTCCCCGGTTGTGCTATGTTCAGTATTACGGTACATCAGTAAATACCGCTGTAAAGCCACTTCAGTATTCACCCCCTGTCTGACAGCTTTTGTGATGACCATTTTACACGTTTTTACGGCATTTTCAGCGGCTCCATTCGAAGCTGGATGATAAGGGGCCGATAATAAATGCTCCATACCGTTATGCATAAGAAATAATCGAAATTCCTCGCTACTGAAAGGTGGTCCGTTGTCACTTACAATCTGTCGGGGAATGCCAAACCTCGCAAAAATCTCCCTTAGTTTATTAATGACTGAATTTGCTGTAGTTGTGTTCATTTGACATATTTCAATCCATTTTGAATAAGCATCTATTAAAACTAAATAACGACGCCCGTCTATAGGCCCTAAAAAATCCAAATGCAATCTGGACCAAGGTCGACTTGGCCAGGGCCACGGCTGGGGTGCGTGGTGGGGCGGCGCCGCCGCGGTCTCGGCGCACACGCTGCAGGCGCGGCACATCGCCTCCACGGCCTCATCGATGCCGGGCCACCACACATAACTACGAGCTATACATTTTGTCTTAACAATACCCATGTGAACGTCATGAAGTTCTTGTAAAATTTTATTATGACACAATTTAGGTACTACCAACCTATGACCCCACATTATACAACCTAACTCAGAATATAATTCGAGTCGTCTATTAAAGTATGGTTTCAGTTCCTTGCTGTCAACCTCATCTGGCCAACCATCTCTGATGAAGCTTAACACCCGGCCGAGGATTGGATCCCTTTGTGTTTCCTTTTTTATTTCCCTGAAATCTAACATCAATGCCTCCGATGCAAAATGTAAATACGTTTGCTCTGGTTCATCATCATTGCTGCTACTCCTATCTTTTGCTTTATAACTATCAACTAACCGCGATAAAGCATCAGCTGTGTTGGCGTTTGTATTTATATACTCAATAGTGAAGTTATAAGCCGATAATAACAGCGCCCATCGTTGCATACGACTCGCCGTCATACTTGGAATGCCGTATGCGGGCCCAAATATGCTTACTAAGGGTTTATGATCACTCTTTAACACAAACGACCGCCCATATAAATATTGGTGAAATTTCTTTACTGCGAAAACAATAGCTAGTGCTTCTTTGTGTATTTGACTATAATTAATCTCGGCCGGCGTGAGAGCGCGCGACGCGTATGCAACAACGCGCTCCCGGCCCGAGGCCCGCTGCGCCAGTACCGCGCCGACACCGCGCGCGCTCGCATCGCATGTCACCACAATAGGTAATGACTCATCGTAGTGCGCTAACACCTCGGACCCCGTTAATATTTTTTTTACATAATTAAATGCATTGCTATGTTCTAAGCCCCAACACCAATGCTTACCCTTTTTTAATAAATCGTATAACGGTGCTAAGTGAAAACTTAAATTCTTAATAAATTTTCCATAAAAGTTAATCATGCCCAAAAAAGACTTGACTTCGGACACATTCTTAGGAGGAGACATTTTCAAAATAGGCTCAATTTTACCAGAGTCTACTTTGACTCCATCTTCGCTAATAATAAAACCTAAGTACTTGACGGAATCGGAAAAAAATTCACATTTACTTTTTTTAAGTTTTAGGCCCTTTTCCATGAGTATGCTCAATACTTTGTTTATGGTATCAATGTGTGATTTTATACATGAGCTGCTTATCAAGATATCATCTAAAAATACCGTGACATTAGGTATATTTTCAAATAACTGAGACATAATTCGTTGAAAAATACCAGGACTCGACGCGAGTCCGTATACTAACCTGTTGTATCTAAATAAACCTTTATGAGTGTTTATAACTGTCAGATTTCGTGTATCATCCAACATAATTTGATTATAGGCTTGTGATAAATCTAACTCCGTATATTACTTACTGCCATGTAAACTAGAAAATAAATCCTCAATTTTAGGCACTGGGTACTTATCGACTTGTAACGCGCGGTTCAAAGTTACTTTATAATCGGCACAAATACGCAAGGCCCCATCGGGTTTGTGTACAATCACCAGTGGGGTCGCCCAGTCGGAGCAGTCCACGGGCTCGATGACGCCGGCGCCACCGGCGCGCAGCATGGCATCCAGCTCGGCGTCCACGCGCTGGCGCAGGGCGTAGGGCAGCGGGCGCGCGCGGCAGAACACCGGCTGGGCCTCCGGCCGCAGGCGCAGCGTCGCCCGTCCACCGTTGAAACACCCCAGTTGACCATCAAACAGCTTCTTAAATCTAGAAAAAATGCCATTTATAACTTCTGTTTTCTGATCATTTATGATATTGTAATTATGACAAGTTGACAAAATAGGTACGGTCATTTCTAACTCCGCTAGCCATTGCCGTCCTAACAAAGTTGTATTACCGTTTTTAAAAACATATAAGTCCAATATTTTTCTCCTATTCTTGTAATTTACATCGACCTCTAAGTAGCCTAATGGCTTAACTTTGGAACCGTTATAAAATTTAACAGATAAATTACATTTTTGTAACGGAACATTTTTAAAATATTTATGGTAATCTACAAGAGAAATGCACGACAGTGGTGAGCCTGTATCAATTTCCATTTGTAAATTAACGTTATTTACATTTAAAAATTCATAAAATTCATTTATTTTTGCAAATAGGCTTTAAAAAAGCGCTTTTACACGTCCCTATATTAACCTGGCTTAACTTTGGAACCGTTATAAAATTTAACAGATAAATTACATTTTTGTAACGGAACATTTTTAAAATATTTATTGTAATCTACAAGAGAAATGCACGATAGTGGTGAGCCTGTATCAATTTCCATTTGTAAATTAACGTTATTTACATTTAAAATTATGCTCACCGGTTTGTAACTACTCAATGACATCTGATACATTGGCTCCTCCTCTTCTTCATCCCGTTCTGCCGTCTCCCGAGCGTCCTCCAGGTAATGGGCTCGGGTGGATGCCGGGGTTCTGGATCCTCTGCTCTGTGCAGCGCCGCGATTGCCTCGGTGGGCAACTCGGCTCCCCTCATTCTTCCCGCCAAAACGTGCTGCCGCCGTTTTAGAGTTTTCTGGACACATTCGACGTAAATGTCCCACTTTCTTGCACCTACTACACTCGTATTCTTTGAATTTGCACTCGTTCCGCCTATGTCTGTAGTCCCCGCATGCAAAGCAACCGCCAACTTGTAGGTTGTTGATGGCATCTTCACCGCCGACTGAAGAAGGCCGTCCCGCTGACAGCCGTGAGCGGGACCCCGAGAACGCGTCTGTGGAGTACGCGCCCGCGGCCGCCCGGCCGCCCGCGCTGGCTCCGTCCGCCGCCGCCTCCACGACTGCCGCGTCCCTCACCGCCGACTCGAATGAAACCGCTATTGCCACCGATTCCTTGAATGTTATTTGGTTTTTTGCAAATAACTGTTGACGAATTCCATCATCACGTATGCCACATATAAACTGGTCTCTGAGATTCTCTTCCAAATTCGCTCGAAATTCACAGTTTTTAGATAGTTTTTTGAGTACCGCCACATACCCCAAAATATTTTCATCCGCCTTTTGTTTCCTTTGCCGGAACACAAAACGTTCTGCCAAAAACGATGGTTTGGGGTTCAAATGTTGTTGTAATATTTCACTCACTTCCTTGAAAGTCATGTCGGCCGGTTTCCGTGGGCTCGCCAAGTTCGTCAATAGTTCGTATGCGCGGTCTCCCATTGTAGTGATTAATGTTGGTAATTTCATTTCTTCACTAATGCCGTTCACTTTAAAATACATTTCCAGCCTTTCCGCGTACAACTGCCAGTTTCCGCAATCCAAATCAAATTCCGTTATCTTGCCGACCGCCATATTTAAACTTAAAATCCTGTCGCCACTGAGAAATCAAAGACCGTAGTGTATTCGTATCGCGTTTAATATAAGACTAAACTGTCAACGGCGCTGCACACATATTTATAAAGTGGTGTTAAGTCTACCCTCTTTATTCTATACATTACAGTTCGTTTCAGCCAAATGACGTCCACTGCTGGACAAAGGCCTCCCCCAAGGTTTTCCACAATGAACGGTCCTGCGCTGCCCGCATCCAGGCTCTTCCCGCGACCTTTACCAGATCGTCGGTCCACCTAGTAGGAGGCCTGCCCACGCTACGTTTTCCAGCCCGTGGTCGCCACTCGAGAACTTTCCTGCCCCAACGGCCATCGTCTCTACGAGCTATGTGCCCCGCCCACTGCCAATCTACGGATCTCCTCATTTCTGATTCGATCACGCAGGGAAACTCCGAGCATAGCCCGCTCCATCGCCCTTTGGGTGACCTTGAGCCTTCTTATGAGGCCCATAGTAAGCGAGGCCTCTTTTTTATTATTTACTATATTTTGACGTTCATAAGTGCCACTTGTGGTCTAAACTAAATAAATATTTTTGATTTTGATTTAGAAGACGAATTTGAAACTTTGTCAAAACCTTATTACAGTAAAGTAATTTGTTACTAACCAAACAAACATGAATAAAAATTCACGTCAAGACTGTAACAAAAAAATTTTGAAAAGTAGAAAAATAAGTTGATTGAAATTAGTTTGGACTTCATGTGAATAAACGCATTTCAAATTCTAGCTGTTGCTAAAATTTTACTACTTTTTTTTCTCAAAAATTTCTTGTCCTGTAATTCATTATTTTCCAGTGAACTATTCAACTGAATATCGAACTCCATACGACTATAAGGCCTCAGCCACGAGTTTAGCGGGCAGCGGCGCGGGAGCGGCGGCGGCGGCGGCGCGGGAGTTGTTCAGATATTTCGTTTGCGAATAAAAACAAATATCTCGACAACACAACCCCGAACACAACACTTCGCCGCTAAAGCGCCGCGCGAGCTGCCCGCTTGTTTCGAGAACCTGGTCTGCGTTGCCCGCCCCGCTCCCGCGCCGCCGCCGCACCCACGCCGCTGCCCGCTATATTCGAGGTCTAACAATGGGTAGGTATAACATAAAGCATATTAATTCACTGATAAAATAAAACATTGTCTCTAAAATTGTAACCAAATAGATCTAAATATAGCTTCCACTGTGCAACCGTCCTGAACCATCCAGTCCTTTCGGAAACGAACGTCTACCGTTGTAATATTTTACCCCCATTTCCCCCACCCAAATCATGAAACTTCTTTTACAGTGATTTGATGACATTGCACTTTGACGAACGCAAGAATTGGGGATGCTGAGGGCACAAAAACAAGATGGATGACCGACTGGGTCCTGGAGGATTTCTTGATTTCTTTTGTACAACCCTTGGGGAAGCTTTCGAGATGAAGTACCCATTGTTGGTTTGATTAGGAACATGTTTTTGAAGGTGTTTAGATTTTTACGCGTTTTAGGATGGGTTGCACAATCTTACAACGTCAAAAATCTGTTAAACTCCATACAAAAAACACCGGTTATCATTAACCGATTGAGTCCCAGACGGCATTAATTAATGTCATAACAATTGATTATCTATTGTGTCTAGATTCGCGGAGCTTGAAGGATTAAAATTTCTGTTAAAGTTAGGTTTTGCAACTCAACCTTAATATCCTCTAAAATAAGAGTCATCTTTGGTTTTTATTCTATTTTTGTGTACAAAATAAATGTGAAAGTAATTTTGTAGACATTTAATATTTTTAACAGTATTTTTGGATTAGAAATTTTACAATATTAGAGGAGTGCAACCAATATGTATAATGACTTACCTGTCAGTTCCCCCAGTCATCACCTTGTAGTCTTGAATGTCCATGTCACCCATGTATTGCGAGAAATCTGAAACAAAAAATAAATAAATTGTAGATAACTTCAATTTGAACCGCTGGATGCTGGCCGCTACCAACCGGGTGATGTGGAAATCATTGGGCGAAGCTTATTTTCAGCAATGGACTTCCTCTGGCTGAAATGATGATTATTGATAGAATAAGCTGCCTGAAAAATGTCTGATCCTTTACAAAAATGACGAGAAAATATTGATAACAATCTTTAGTCCTTTTGAAACTAACGCCGTCAACTGCAGTACTATGGTCTGCCCCAAGTGTTTTCACAACAACCGGTCCCGCGCCGCTCGCATTTAAGCACTTCTTCTACCCTCTACGGGTCAACAGTCTACCGAATGAAGGGCCTGACATTGCTTTTTCTAGTGGTAAATGACTTTTATTTAAAACTTTACTCGGTTTGTAACATTCGACACCGCCAAATCGTATTCAAATTTGGAAACAGCCATTACCGTTCGCTTATCAATTCAAACCGTCCACTAGTTGGATGTCAATATTCATTTACGAGTGGCCGTGGCGCGTGATTTGTCGTTACGCTCGCGGTCGGGACGGAGGGAGGGTACGTGGTCCGCATTCGCTATCGTGTCGAATTTCGCCAAGGGGCGATCGCGATGATGCTAAATATCTGGATACGCAGCCAGTATTCAAAACATGGGTAGAAAAGTGTGCTTTTTTGCTCGCAGACCGCGTGAAGCGTCAGATGATTCAATATGCACAAGTGCTCCGTGAAAACATGCAAAAAGTACTTTCAGCAAGTGTGCTAGATGAAAAAGAATGAGGTGTCGAAGCCAATTTTATTCTTAAATCGATGTGTCTTAGTATCATAACTAGTCTAGAAGATTAATAAACCAAAGATAAACGATCCCTCGCACTACGGTATTTACGATATTGTATTAATTCACGCCATTTGTTTCTCTTTAAAGAAAAAGAAAATGAAATATTTAAAGAGCGCTTACAGAATTATAGCTAATTTTCACTGTAGTAAAGTTAATATTTAATTATAGCATTCAGTAAAATAGGCCATAAAATATACCTGTGATTTGCATTATTAGCCACATTATGCATTCCTAAAAAGTCATAACTTTTAAAGTTAAATTTAAAATTGTACTTTTGAATATTGAAACGTGAGTTGCAATCGGCATACGCCTGTAAACGTGTATTTGCTATTTTTCGGTCACTTTTCATACCTACCAGAGTAAATACAAATGAGTAGGTCATCTTCATAGAAACGCACCGAGCGCGGTTTGTATGTAAGCGACAATATACGTATGCAGCGCGCACGCACACACAGACAAAATTCGGCGCAACCACGACATACAAAGTTGGCGCGCTCACATACAAACCGCGCCCGTGCGTTTCTATGAAGATGACCTACTCATTTGTAAATACAAATAGAATAAATACTCTGTACCTACTGTCGCATCTAGGGCATTATTATCTTTGTACGCTCAGCGAAAATCGTTCCGTTATTAATAATACGTAATACGTCCGATTGATATTCCGAATCGTGCCTTGCGGCTGTGTATTTGCAGATGTGCTTTAAACGTGTGTCGTGTGGTGATTTTAATCAGTATACGTTTAGCTGGATTCAAGCAAACTTTGTCGTTCACTGCTGGAAGCCACGAACTTTATCGATCTGAAAAATATAAAAATAACTAGCTTTCCGCCCGCGGCTTCACCCGCATGGAATATTGTCTGTCACAGAAAAATTAGCGCGTCCCTGTTTCAAAAACCGGTCTAATCCAAATTTCATTAAAATTGGTTCAGTGGTTTAGGCGTAAAAGCAAGACAGACAAAGGACTATTCCCACCTCTCGTTCCCACCACTGCAACTCCTGTGTAGCCAGGATCTACAGCTTGCAAGCAAGACAGACAGACAGACAAAGTAACTTTCGCATTTATAATACACTCGGCATCAAATAAATCGCACCTCCCGTGACAAGCACTTTCAAACGTATGCATCCACACTTCCCACCAACATTGGTACCATTTGAAAGCCTAGTTCTAAACTTCATTTCATTAAAGGAAAGGTTTTTACCCCAAAAACGTGTCTTTACAAGGAGCCAGAGTCACTTCTTCAAAAAATAGGTAGTTACGCTATAGCCATTTTTTATGACTATAAAACTGTTAAGTTGGGATTAATCGCTATCCATCTGTCAAAGAGGACACGTGAGATCTTTATTTGGTTTTATAACCATAAAAATTGGTCTAATTGATCCCAGAGGTGAGCCCAAATTGAGGTCTATTTTCAAGTCACATTTATGGTATATGTTAATCATTTATTTAGAAATGAAATGTATTTTTCTTTAAGGATATTTATTGGGCTTTCAAATAACACCAATATTGTTGGGGTAGGTACCATAATTATGTCAGAAGAAAATCTTTAAAGTTCGCGTCGCGGAAGGTGCGGTTTATTTATTTTGATGTTGAGTGTATTAGTATCTAGAGAGAAGTAAAAAGAATACAAGCATCACTATGACTTAGAGCTACAGCAGGCACGTTATTTTCATCATCAGTATTCGGAAATTTTGAGACATTATGCGTTCGGACGCGGTTATCGGAATCACGCGACTGCTGTCGCTACGTCGAGCATCCAAAAAGCGAACCAATCGCTGCTTTGGCGTTTTTAAGTGTACGTATCTGGTTAGAGTACAGTTTAGAACCACTCTCATTCTTCCCGTTGATGTCGTAAAAGGTAACTAAGGAGTAATTATGCCAAAAACAGGACTCCGCAACCCGTCTAACCAGCGTGGAGTGTGTTTAGGCCAAATCCTTCATTTGCCTCTGGTATATTAGAGGGCCATATGCTCCAGCCACTTTGTGCTTTGGAGTGCCCGTTATGCTGTCCGTTTGAAGCTTTTCGGACGCTTGTAGTAAGCAGCTAAGATGGCAGCTGACTCACATGCAGTTATAGTACGAGTACTAAGCTAGGCCCTAGGTTATAGTCAGCGTCAAATAATTAGTGTCAAGACACTCAAAGTGGTCAAAAAATTAACAACACAAACTTATTCTAATCGTAACAAAGAAGTGTTACGAACTTTTTGGCTACTTTGGATATCACGAACTATTAAAATTTGACGCTGACTGTACTTAGAAGCGATTTAAATGAAAACTACATGAACACAAAATTAAATCTTTTACCAAATCTAATAGTTATTTAACATTTCTAATCCAGTAATACGATGGTAACTCTCTCAATTCATATTGGCGTTAAATTCAGAACCAGAGTTTTGAAATCAGAACTTAATAATCTTACTAAATGGTCTACTGAATAATAAATAGGCAAAATACTATTAACACGCTTCGAATTGCTGAATGAATTTTAAGTTCTGAATAGTTTGGGTCAAATAGATTTAAAGTTGCTAATTTACTGGTAGCTTTTAATAGGCCTACTTTATGTTTAGTTTTTATTTGCGACTAAGAGCCATTTATAATAAATCACACGTAATTACTTACAGCAGCTGTACGTATTCAAGTAAACATTCAATTAACAAAGTTAACAGTTGATTTATCGAAGTTTGTAAGGCAAAGCAATTTTTCGCTCTTCGTTTTTGATTTATCTTTGTTTTACAAGTCTAATCACCCATTAAATTGAAACTAAACTAAAGTAAAATCAAGTACAAAGGCCAGTTTAATTCATAAAGAGCATTGCAAATGTTTTGCCCGCGATTGTCTGCTTTATTGTCCCCGAAACACATCTGTCGTCGGAAAAATATGGCGATACTAAGACGCTCTCACCTGCAATTTGGAGACAAAAGAAACGTTTAAGCTGGTCGCATACTGAAGAAAATGATCAACTATCTTTTTTATTTTTTGAGCTGCTTGTTCTGACTGGACAATTATTTACCCGTATGTATCTGGAGTAGAATTTTCTCACGTACTTATATCTGGAATAATGTAAGTAGCTTATCAATTAATGGTGAGGTCAGAGATCAATCTACCAGACTGTCTACCAAGACTAAGTGACCACCTTCATCTTATTGATGTAGAGGATTGTGGTCACAGACTTAATTAACTTGGCTCTATTCTTTACTCTCTAATAAAAAACAAGCGTGTGGTTGGTCCATTACATTTAAATTTCAATTAAAGGCATAAATCTTTATCCTCAAAGACTCAAGTTACTTCACAAGCCTTGTTTTGTAGACAGACCTTAGTGAAGGCAATATTTTATAATATTACAAGTGCTCCAAAACAGGTGTGCGAGCCGCCTCATCCAGTCCACTCCTGCCAGAAAATTGAAACAAATAGCGTAGCATCTGTCGTATATATTTTTCATAATTTCTGAATAAATAATTTTGTCCTTTCCGCCAAATAATGGACGGGGCTGAATAGCGGAAATATAGGGGGAGAGGGGATCAATAAATGGGACAGATTTTGCATAATTAAAAAGGGGTGTTTTCAGATGATTGCTCATCTTGATGACTAATGATCCTGTTACGGAGACGTGGACGAAATATATCTTGGAGTGCTGAAATTTTAATTATAATATCGCTTAATATCAATTAACGGTATTCATACGAGGGCTGCACTAAAAGTATCGGGAATGGAATATTTCCACTGTTCCAGTCATATTAAAATCTATTTAATTGCAAACTCCAGGGTTTTAAAAATCGTATACCATTTATTTATTTAAAAAAAGATTCTCGGTCGTATCACAAGGTCTAGTCAAACTTGTTTAGTCGTTGAGAAAATGGAATTGACTCGAGAAAATTCAAGAGCGATGATTTATTATGACTTTCGGAGTGGTTTAACACAAAAACAGTGTGTTGACCGGATGATTTCTGCATTTGGTAATGAAGCCCCATCCAAAACCACAATTTATCGCTGGTTTCCTGAATTTCAACGTGGACGTGTCAAGCTCAGTGATGATCCCCGTCAAGGTCGTCCAAAAACTGCAGTCACCTAAGAAAACGTTGATGCTGTGCGTAAGCTGATTGAAGAAGATCGACATGTGATATACCGCGAAATTCAGGCAACTTTAGACATTGGCATGAGCCAA